ATAGTAGCAGATATGTCGCTCAGGCTGAAACATCGAAATGACAGTATTACGCAGATCCAAAATTCAGTGAATTAAAAACAAAAATGGATATAGTTGGGTCGAACCAACCCAAATTGTTCGATTTGAGATACGACACTGTTCAGTTTGAAGAAATTGGCTTCAGATGGTAATGACAAAAGAAAAATAATAGAATCCGGGCCCTGCAACATGTGAACATTTTTTTTTATGGCCAAATCGGTCATAAATGTTCTGAAACTTCTACAGGGTGAGAAGGAAAACAGCAACCAACTGAAGGTCAGAGAGTCTAGTCTCTCTATAGACGAGCTGAAGTCCAGGGGGTCTAGGGTCTAGGGGGTCTCTCCCTCTCTATAGACAAGCTGAAGGTCAGGGAGTCTAGTCTCTCTCTGTGTAGAAGAGTTGAAGGTTAGGCAGTCTACTCTTTCTAGCTGGAGGCTAGGAAGTCCATATAGACTAGCTGTAGGTCATGGAGCTTATATAGAATAGCTTAAGGTCAGGGAGTTCATATAGAGCTGTAGGTCAGTCGTTCTCTATTTTGCTAGCTGGAGGCCAGGGAGTTCTCTATAGACAAGCCGAAGGCCAGGCATTCTCTATACTGACTAGCTGGATCCCAGGTAGTCTACATAGACTAGCCAGGAAGTGTACATAGACTGGCTGGAGGCCATAAACTAGCTGGCGGCCAGGGAGTCTACAAAGACTAGCTGGAGGCCACGGAGTATACATAAACTGAAAACAGGCGGTCAATATAGACTAGCTGGAGAACTGGCGGTCTATATAGACTAGCTGGAGGAATTACGATCTATATAGACTAGCTGAGCCCACGGAGTCTTCATAAACTTGGAGGTCAGGGAGTGTACATAGAATAGCTGGAGGCCAGGGAGTCTACATAGACTAGCTGAAGGCCACGGAGTATACATAAACGGAAAACAGGCGGTCATATAGACTAGCTAGAGGAAAGACGGTCTTTATAGACTAGCTGGAGGCCAGGCGGTCTACATAGTCTATATAGACTAGCTGGGGCCACCCGGTCTATTTAGTCTATAGAGACTAGATGGGGGCCAGCGGTCTATTTACTCTATACCGACTAGCTGGAGGCCAGCCGGCCGATATAGATAGCTGGAGGCCAGCCGATGTATATAGGTCTATATAGATTAGCTGGAGTCCACTATAGAGACTAGCTGGAGTCCAGGGCATCTATATAGGACAAGCTGGGTCAAGGAGTAGAAATAACGATAAATGAAGCAGGGAGTCCATATAGACGAGCTGTGGACTAGGTAGTCCATAGAGATTAAAAGGGACGGGTAAAAACCTCCTAGGATGCGGGAGATTTTTTTTAGGATTCGGGGGTATTAACCCTAGGAGATTTACTCCAAAGGTCCGGAGTCCGCACCGATTTCATCCTGGGGTCCGGTTAATTTAAACCTAGGCTTCTATAAAAAAAGGTCATTGGAAAATGAAATTTGAAAGTCTTCTATGGAGTTAAATTCTTTTGAAGAGAAAAAAATCCTTTGATGGTCCTCTACAGAGGAAATACATTTGGAGATCTTATTTATAGAAGAAACATCCTTATGAAGCCTTCTGAATCATAAGAACAATTTGAGGACATAACAAAGATCCGTTTGTTTGAATGATCCTTTAAACCGTCAACAATTTCAGACATAGAATTTCTTCTAGAGCTCATCTGCTAATAGAAAAATATCTAAGCTTCCTTCCGAAGATAATGTCCTCATAATATTCCTTCTGAAAATCTTCCAGAGGCTTTCGCGTCTAAAGGTCTGCTATTTTCATTGGACGTTTAAAAACTTTTCAAAGGAGACTGATATTTTCAACATATTCAGACTGCTGCCATTTGTAAGCCACTCGTCCGACAGCTGTTAAAATTATTCCACTGACAGCACGCGCCACCCAAGTAATGAGGTTCCTCGCTTCATTTCCAGCTCACAGTGGCCACCAAAATCTCAGTATACCAATCCGTTGTGCCTGGAGTATTTGGGAAAGCAAAGTTGGCACTAAAAAATACCAAAGTTTCGATCACCTCAAGCAAGCGCTTCACCGGTAGTGGGCCAAAATACATCGTAAAAGTGTTTGTGTTTTGTTGTGTTGTGATAAGACAAGCTTTTTAAATTTTCTATTAAAAATGGCATTGTAGAGGTCATAAATTGTTAAATTAACTTGTTTAAAGTTGACATAGATAATATGTAAATATATTTGTAAAATAAATATTCATTTTAAAAATAATTAATTTTCTTCTACTGGTTTCTAATTTTGAAAGGTTGTTCCTAAACATATTCAGGAAGCAAGTGCGAGTGTCTTAGGTATCGAGCAATCAGACCGTGCTATATATGTTGTTATGAGAACCAACATCTTCTAGCGCGGAAGACATTTCTAGATGTAGCTAGTAAAACGTATGCCTATATAAGAGGCTTGTTGCATTTGCAAAACAACCACATATTGCAACAAGCCTCGCCGTAATGTGGCAAACATTTAATATAAGAGAGGTATTTCCAATTGGAAGTGAAGTTCTTATTAGACTCTTTTAAAATACCACAACAAAGAGTTATGGAATAAATTACTCTCAACCCCTAACAACAAAAATGTTTCGTTCAATTTTTATAGGAAATCGCTGTGAGAGAATGTTAGAGAGCAAGATGTGATGGTTATGTCAAAGAGAGAAAGAGAGATAATGTGTTGTAAAGAGTTTCAGGTGGTAGTTCGTAGGAGAAGAATTAAAGTCATGCAGCTGCTCCTGCTAGCTACCTACCTAAATTACACTGTGCAACATATTTCGAATATAGAATTTTGAAATCGAAATATTTGTCGTAGACCCCATGGTACAATAAAATCAAGGTAGGGTTATGATACCATATGATTTTAATTTTTTTATTTACTTGGCTTAATATGTCAACTTTAGTTGCTTATGTGTGCATACTCTTTTCAATAGTAAAAATGCTTATTGATATATTTAGATATATCAAGTTGTAGAGTATCGCGGGCAGGTTTCGCACGTTATGACAGATAAAGTATTGACAATTGTGCCCCTTTGTGGTGAGGTACCAGAAAGGGTTCCCAAGTATACAACATCTTCACACCAGATCTTGTGTTAGCGAAAATGTTTGTATGTGTGAGCGTTTTGTTTTTCAAAATCTTGAACCTTATGTGGGGGAGTACAGAAGAAATGGTCCGATCTCTACCATCTTCATAACAGATCTTGTGTTGATGGGAATATTGAGATATACCATGTCTGAATGGAATCGGATGTTAAATTTTGCGTTTTATGAGCTTCATGGATATTCACAATTCTGACCCGTTGTGGTGGAGGTACCAAAAGGATTGGACCGATAAAATTTCATCTCACAGCAAATCGTGTAATAGTAGAAATAATGAATGGTATGTGTGAAATATGAAAGAATCCGATGGTTATTTCTGATTTCATGATCGTTTTGGTTATTAAAAATTGTAACCTTTTGTTAGGGAGGTATCAGAAGGAGTGGACCGATATATTCTATCTTCACAACAGACCTTGGGTTAATAAAAAATATTTTAAAACAATCGATCACTTACATCACATTTTCAAGAGTTATAATTATTTAAAATTTTGACCCTTTGTGGGAGAGGTACTTCATGGGGGTGGGACGATATTGTTCATTTTGACCTGACCTAGCACTGATGCAACTATTAGGATTTACAAAGTTGGAGCAAAATCGGATTATTTTTTCTCTTTCTGTTCTGTAAAATTGTCGATGTTGACCTTTTTAAATTTGATACAAATATTACGATGTACCAAGTTTGGTGCAAATCGGATACTCCCTTCAAGAGTTATCTTGCGCATCACCCTGCCAGCGAGACAGACGGACGGACTAATGATAATCCCCATATAATGCAATCTCCTGATTTTTTATATATTTGATTGTGTTGGTCCCAATTAATAATTAGGTGTAATTTGACATTTTTGCTCTCAGCAAATATTCAAAAAAATCAATATAAGTATAGTGAATCTATAATGAAAACTTTTGTTTATTGAGGAAAGTAGAGCAAATAAAGATGTCGTTCCGGCTAAAAATAATGTCTATTGAAGAAACATAATTACTAATTATTTTTGTTAAGAATAATTTTAAGCCTAACGGTAATGCGAACTACCTTCATTCGCCTCACATGGCTGTCCACTATTTGATGGAGAAGTATATGATATCGCTTTTATGTTGCGCAGTGTACATTAAGAACTATGCTTTGCAATACAGTATTCACATCTATAGAAATCGACAAAATGCTATGGCCTTTGGAATACAATTCTTTATGATTTATAGGCATGCATTTTTAGAATGAAGAGGTAACTCTTCATTAAAATCTCACACATTTTCTGTGGTTTTTGTCGAAAAAATTGCATATGTTTATGCCATTCAGTCTCGACTCCAATCATTACTATTACCTTACCCAATAAGTATGTCACTGGAGCTGCTCTTGGCAGTAACTTACCCACAAAAATATATTTGTTAAGAGTTTATTTGATTTTCTCACATCCAATGAGAATTCTCTGAGAGCTGGGCATTAAGAAAAAGAGTTTCGTTAAATTTCCGCTGCTCTCTGCTGCCGTTACGTCGACGTCAACATGTGCGTCTTTTGTTCCTTATTTTTCAACAAGACTCCACCATTGAACATCATTATTATGTTTTCTATGTTAATGGCGAAGCCGACAGCAACAGAGAGCATAATGCATCCATTCCAATTGCACACAAAAGCCGCCAAGCTGTGAGAGAGAAATTCCCCCCAGAAAAAACAAGTAGTTTCCTGTGTGTGTATTCAGTTGTTTGCATTGCAGTGGGGTTTTTTTCTGTTTCTGACTCTTCTTGTTGGATTTTATTCTCTCTCGCACTGGCCTCTCCACAGACTCTTTTGTTGCTAAAGACGTTGACGGCGTCGTCGTGTCTCTGTTATTGCTACGGCTGTTGTTGTTCTTGCTCTTGCTGTGGGGAGCATCACACATGACGACGACAGCGTCGTCCGTTGCTCAACATGAAATCCAATTTGAAAACTTCAGTTACAGTTGGAGCGTATAGCCAAACGGTTCGGTTTTCTATCCAAGTAACGCTTGCATGAGTTTCGTTACGTGTCGTGTTCGTCCGTCGTCGTGTAATTCGTGTAAAATACCTATCTATCAGCAATTAAATAATAAAAAAGAAAATAATTGTGTGTGTGAAGTTTTTCTCTGCTTCTTTCTTCCTATAAATTTAGTGTTTAATTTGGTTTTATTAAAAGTCGGGTTTTAAGCCGTCATTTGACAATATTTTATCAACAACAACAACTACAATTATCCATAGCCATAACAACAGGAACGAAAAACAACTACAGCATAACGAAGAAGGCACGACAATGATAGTAGTAACAGCAGCAACAACAACAACGACCAATTACGGACGGGTTTTGTGAGTGCTGTGTTTCTGTTGTAGTATTTCGTTTTCGTTACTATTCTCCATGAGTTCAAAGAGCCAAAATTGTAGTTTTTTTGTTTTATTGTAATAAAGCAATGAAGAATAATATAAAGTAAAGGTAGTGGAGAAAAAAAAAACATGTGAAAGAATTGTGCAAATAAACAAAAGAAAAGCCTCGAATTAAATTTCTCCCCCAAAACAAATTGAAATCAAAAGTGTTTTCTTCCTCTACCATGGACTTTATCTCGTCGTCGTCGTTGTCGTTTTCGTTTAGGGTGGACAGGCGGGAGAGATGCTGTTAAAACCAGAGCAGCAAACATAACCAGCAAATAAAACAAGTGCAAGGCAATTCGTTAGTTAAGATTTTTCGTATTCGTTTGTTAGCTCGTACTCTATACCACACAACACGCCAGAGTTGTAGTACTCCACATCTCCAGGCTGGCTCGTAATTTTGCTCGTCGTAGTCGTCAGCATCGTCGTCTTCGTCGTTTATAGTTTATTAAACTCCGGTTTCGGTTGTTCTTTGCGGGCAAAAGAAGCAAAGTGTAATTGTGTATTATCGTGCGAGTGTGTGTGTGTATGTATGTATATATGTTATGGGTCATGGTGTCCCAACCCAGTAATACGAGGAGCTCAAATAGTGGTAGAAGAAGAGGAAGAAAAAATATTCTTCCATGACATCTGGCCGTTCAAAAAGCCTTGCAAAGTGTTTTTTTCCAAGCAAACAAAAAAAATCTTGTGCTGTTCCTCTCGACCCACCGGAATCCAATGGAGCTGTTTCCTATTTGTAAGTGCTAAATCAAAACTAACCAAAAAAGTGAAATTAATGCGAATTTTGCTGCTGCAATAAAAGTGAAGTGTAATTTGTTTGTGCCATGTCCCCTCACAGCCCCTTCTCCTGCCCCCCGAATCATGATTTTTCACTTTTTTTTCAGCCATTCTTTCAAATCATTTGATTTGATATATTTTGTTTTTAATGACCTCCCCTCTTTTTTCTATCTTTTATTGCTGTTTAATGTGATCGATGATGACTCGACATTGTTTGTGTAGTTAAGGCTCGCTTCAACTTTCCATTTTCTAAAACCGTTTTTTTGGATTGTCATTATAATGTTGTTGTTATTGTTGGTTAATGTGGTCCAGCTCTGAAACAGAAGAAAGAAACTGTTGTTGTCGCTGCCGCTATTTCCGCCTTTTTTAATTACTGCTTCTGCGGTAGTAATCCAACAATGTGAAGGGGGGCATATACTTAATGCGGTGTGTAAGTGTGAGCACAAAACCGAATATATTATCACTCTTGCGAGAATTGTGTCTTTCATGGCTTAGGGATTGGTTTGAAATAAAGCTGAACGTGATTCCAAGATTATGGTATCAGATCTATGCACTGCTAACTTATTATGAGTGAAATAAAAGTTTTGAATTTTGAAAAACGAAGGTTAACTTCACTGATAATTTTTTTAGAGTTTTTTTTGTACCGATAATCTGAAATTAGAACAAGGCAAACTTAGGACCTGCCCTAGTGGGGTTTGAAATTATTTTTTCGAGTAGTCATGGTACACTATATACAGAAATGGTTATTATTCTTTTAAAATACCAGTACGTTCACCTTAAAAGTGTCACAGTTTTCAATAGAAATTGATATTGTACTGAATTCTTTTTACTCCAACATGAACTTCTGCATAAGAAACAAACTTCTAATAAGTGATATGTTCCAGAATTGCAAGAATCTTAATGTTTTTTACTATGATAAACGATTTTGCATTTATGATATTGAAGAAATCACTTTAGTTGTCACTTTTTAGTTGTCGGCATGACATATTCTTTTGGTTGGCATACCCTCCTTGGAAAGAAGGGTGTATTCCATTTGTAACTTCTTTAAATATTCGTCTGTTAAAATCAACCGGAATTGTTACAAATTTGGTACTGAGAGTTTGTAGCGAGTCCTGCAGTGGATGATCATTGTCTGCATAGGTCCACGTTTTCCTGCAGCGCCCATACAACAGTGCCTCCCAATATTCGGCATTTTAACGATTTATGCCACATTTTCTAACGGATTTGTTTAAAATTAGATTTTTGTAGTTCGTAATAGATTCTAGCTCCGGTGGCAGAATATTACATAGTTTCATGTTTTCCTTAAGCGACCATATACCTCCCTATATTCAGTATTTTCTTTTTTTTTAACCAAGTTTTTTTTTCACGATTTTTTTTTTTTTAATTTGGTATTTAAAGTTTGTAATCGACTTTACCTCCTGTGACGTAACATTGTTAAATAGGCCCATGTTTTCTCATAGCATTCAAATAATGATGCCTCCAGATATTCGGTATTTTTACAATTTAGACCATATTTTTTATTTGATTTATTTCAAATTTGGCATTTGTAGTTCACATAATGGGACCAAGATTTCCAAATAAAGGTACACACCGATATTCGGTATTTTGACGATTTATGCCACATTTTGTAACGGATTTGGTATTTGTAGTTTGTAGTGGGTTCTAGATCCTGTGACAGAACTTTATATAGTGCTATATTTTCCTATAACGACTATATGCCTCCCGATTTTTTCTACTTCAATGAGGATTTGGTATTTACCTTTTTAATAGGTTTTACCTCATGTGGCATATAATTATTTATATAAATCCCTCTTGTCCCCATTTTTCAAAAATGCCAACCTTTTCCTATCTAAGGACCGTTGTTCAAGTCAGGTCAACCATACCAATGACAAAATGTAAATTGTAATAGAATAAGGCTTATATTTTATAGTCAATTTATATTTTGTGCAAAAAAAAAAACAATGTTTCACATTACAAATCTATCTCCACTGATTAGTTTTTTTCTGAAGTTCTGTTTAGAAAAAAATCAGCAAATATTAATTGGGTCCACTATCGAATATTTTTTTAATTGGCTTAAAATTCGGGAATACCTCTCAGTTTGATTCCAATTTTTCATTACGTGTAGTAGTATTTATCTTGATTATATCAGATTACTTTTTTTTTTTGAAAATTCATACTTCCGATTATTATAGACCCGATTTACTGATCCGTAATTAATGAATTTACTTATATTTGGTATGGAAATTTTTACAAACCAACTAGAAGTAAACAAGGGGTCGTTATGTGGGCATCAAACTCCAAACTTATCAAAATAGTGTTACCAGTCTTAATAATATTTCTGAATCCAAATGTTAGTTATTTAAACCTTACATAGTTATTACTTATTAAAACCCTAACACTCTTATTCTGATAAATTTATTTCTGTACCTAAATGGGACTTACTTGGAGGGGAGTCCCTCAAAGATCTTTTTTTTTGAAATCTAAGTGCACGTAGCCCAGACCCAAATAACAAAATAAAAAGTCATAATTTTAGACGTGTTTAGTTCTCCTTTTTGGTTCTCTGAAATTCCATTTCAGCATTAACAGCTTTATCGTTTCCTGTACCCAAATTTAACTTTGGTTTTAAAAGGCAGTGAGTATTTCTTAAAGAAGCACAATTCTTCAACCAAGAATTCCAGAAACCAAATTCGTTACTATTTTTAGTAATGAAGTCCTTGAAATAAGTTCCTATAAACCCATTCGTTACTTAAAAAAATGCTGAGGAAATTCGTTTATAATTGGGAAGTCCTTAAAGAGTGTTTCTACGAAATTTACGATTTTTTGTGACCGAGTAGACCATTAACATATTTTAACAGTCTAATTTTCTCTGTCAGGAAGTCTATAAATTCTTTGGAAATTTACAATTTTTTACACCGGAGTTCCTTGAAAATGCACGACTTTTGTTTTGGCAAACATTTTTTCAAGAAACCCAGGAATCTTCGCCAATAATTTCTTTAAAAAATTCTGGTCAAGAAACGCTTTAAGCTTGGATTTTTGAAATATGGAATTCCATAAAAATATACCTTACGTGGGGAAAAGACATAAGAAAGGAGCTTCCCACACCGTACAATGAATTCAATTTTTATTTTGAAATATGTGGGGGATTGACCGTGTGAACTAAAACTATATATCGAAATATCACACTTCACCTAATGTCTGCAGGAATATTGAGATGCCAGAAATTATAGAAAATCGGGAACTATTTTCACATTTTATGAGAGTTCTGATTCCTCAACATTTATGGGAAATGTAGCATAAAAGTAAACTAATATGCATTACATTTTTTAACTTGATATAATATTGACAAATTATTTGAATACGCCAAGTTCGAAGAAAATCATGGACTTTTATCTAATATTTTGGGCGTTAAATCTGTATTAAAAAAGGTTAACTCTTTGTGTGAGAGTTACCAAAAATAGTGGACCAATGCGTTTTATTTCCGAGCTTGAAATAAGCCTTATACAAGTATTAGAGTATGAGAAAGTTGAAAGTCTTGAATTTCGTTAATTTTATATGAAATATATTTGATTTTGAAAAACATTTGAGGGAAGATTTAAAAGAAAAAAAAATAATGAAAAATATACCATTTCTAGGCAATATCTGATGTTTGAGGCAATCTTGAGATGTGCAAAGATTGTAAAAATTCGATAATGACTTTACATTCTATTTGGGTTTTTTAAGTATTCATTTTTATCTCTTCTGGGCGTAATAGAAGGAAGATTGAGCCGATATTGTACATTTTGAATGGGATGTTCTGTATTTAATGGTTCTGATTATTTTATAGCAAACTAAGTTTGCACAGTAAAATGGCCAAATTGGGGGTTTGAAAAAAAAAATTAACATCTTTTATAGAAAATGTTAAATTTGTGCAGGTCTGGGAAATTTATGAAGAATTAGGAAATTTTGCAGATATAAAGAAATTTAAACTTAGAGCAAATAAACTGTATAATAAGTTTTGTTGATAAAAGGGAAAAATGTTTGAAATTAAATTATTAGTGAAAAGTGTTTAGAGTTCCTCGAAGAAGAATTTTCATGGGGAAATTAAGAAATGTCAATTTACATCCCCAAGTAATTTTTTCGCTCATTGTTTTATTTTCGAACATGCAATATTTTTACAAATTATGAAAATCCATAATTTTCCATAATACACTGCCAAAAATTTAACTTTTGACATTTTGCAAATGAATCAACAACAAATCCCTTAGACCTTCTAAAAATTGTTTTCCCCAACTATCTGCTTGGATAAATAAAAATTTTACAAAAAACAAATCGCATTTGATATGACATTGGAAATTTCTAAATTTTCTTTAGTATTCATGAGACCCCACGACCCCAATGCCAATAAACAAAACATTTAATTGGTGTTGACAGGAACTTTATTGAATGAATGATGCGCGAATGGCAGCTGTGAACTCAACTCAAGGCACAATCGCTTGTGGCAACACTTTCAATCGAAAAATTGTCTTTGATGTGTGAAAAGAAGGACGCTAATTTTTGAGAAATTGATAAAGAAAACAATTCTCACCCCATATGAACGATCGATTTCAATTGATATGATTGATTCTGGGAAATTGATAAGTTATTGTTTGGGGGAACTAGTTAATTTTTAAATAAGGGCTTTGGGGGAAAATTCATAATGGAAGATTGAGTATTCATATTTTATGGGTCTTGTGGTAATTTTGATTTAGAGAAAAATTAATTGCCGATAAATTGGAAAATATTCAAAATGCCAATTGCAATTTTTGTGCCTTCATTTCGGAATTTTTTCTTCTGCTAGCATTTCTGAAATAATTAGTTTAGTCAAAAATTTATTTTTTTTATATTTAGAAAATATTTTTGGCAGTGAATTGAAAAAATAATCTGTTAGTTCTATAAAGAACATTATTTCCTCTTTATTTATGCTTTGATAAATACAAATTT